ACTTTATATATATATAATTTTTTTTCCAGTATCAGGGATCAAACTCAGGACGTTGTGCTTGTGAGGCAGGTGCAGCACCACTGAGCTAAATCCCCAGCCCTGTCACATGATATTTTTGAGCTGTTATATCTACACAATGCAAATCCTAATTCCTAATTTGGCATGTTCTCAGCTTTTCCAGCATTGTTCCATATCCCCTGGTCTCAGCAATTCAAGTTGAGAGCTGATGTTTCTCAATCATCCCAAATTTCTTATTCTCTTCAACTGCTTCCTCTATGTTCCATGTTACAGTTGACACTTTACATTTGATTCTCTCACTACATCCAATGGTTATTTATGACAATTTTTGTAAATACAGTTCTATACCCTATTTGCCATGTGGATAATTTCTACTTTTCTACTTGATTTATTATCTAATGTGACTAACTGTACCAACTCTTGGGAAAATCAAAGACCCTTCTTTGGTCAGACATTCCTTCCTGAAGAAGGTCCTACCACTTATGCTGCAACTTGTGTGCAGTGCATCAGTGTGAATGTGTTCACGTGCACTAAATCATGAAAGAATGGGTCATACACTGTCCTCCCACACTCAGCTGCCCCTGTGCTCCTCTGTAAACTGCATGTAGCAGTAGATACCAAATGGATTACACAAGGGGACAACCCTACACCAGTATGAAAACCTTTAAATTAGCTTCATCCCTGTTATTCAATGACACATGTGATAAGTCAAGTTCTACTTTTCCCAATGATTCATAAGCCAATGTATAGAAAAGATTGTTTTCATTCAGTGTCCTCATAAACTCATTATTCCAAGATAAATAAGTGAAAAAGCAGTTACGAATTCCAGGTTAGCCTAATGAATTCATCTGTAAAGTCACTTGTCTCAAAATCAACCACAAATTCACATTTAAGATTATTTATGACCAGGCTCCAGGACTTTCAGGAAATAATTTACTGAGTCTAATGTGAAGATAAAATTCCAAGTGACAGTTTTCTCCACTGTTGTGAGCACTAATACTTGTTTTCTTCTCTTGAAATCTAAATCATAATTGATTCTCTCCACATCATTTTAGGGTAACGAAGAACCTCACTGCCTTGTTCTCTCTGAAGGGGTGTGTGTGTGTGTGTGTGTGTTTATCCTGGTTTGTGCTCAAAATATGCCCAAAGAAGCAGTGCTCTCTTTTTATCAAATAAGAACAAAATGATGGTTATGGTTATGGGCACTCTTGACTGAGCATAGGCAGGTACTGAAATTCCTCATTGAAGCTCTCATGTAAGACAGACTGGCCTTCAAGGACAGAAAAGAAAGAGGAAAGAACAACTGAAAGATTTCTTATGATGGTTTCCTTTTAACAAATGATTGGAACACAAGAGCATACGGTTCACGAACTGAGTTGTTAGATTTATAGTGGACTTAATATTAAAGCCATAAATATCCTCTAATACAATTTTGCTTTCCCATTCTGATTGATTGTTATCATTCATCACCCTCATTCTCTTTGATAAGGTGCTTAACCTAAAACACTTTGAGAGAATAACAGGGTTAATATGGTATCTGTTTAAAATTCACAGTATTTAATTTGAATCATAAAGTGTGAATGAAAATAAATTAGATTTGCGGACATAGATTTCTGATATTTTAGGGTTAGGGTTAGAATCTATTCTATATTACTCATGAAATGGAATGGGATTTTGCAACTAGAGTGTCAGAGTCATGAAATATGGAAATCATAGGAATAAACCTGAAAGAAAATTTTTTAACACACATATTATTAGTGCTGTACCATGTATTAATTTAGAAATACACATGTATAAAAGTTTTGAAATTGTGATGAGAGACACAAATGCCCACCTACAATTGATATTTGAATTTTAAAAATAGTCTCTGTAGGATGAGATTTTATGATCTTTTAAAGTTCTTATTTTTCTCAATTGTAAGCTTTCCATTACCCATTTGTTAGGCAGCCTATAGGGTTTTAAGAATTTTCTGTCTTCCAAATCATGCAATCTCCCAATAATTACATCTTTAATTTTTATGCATGCTAGTATTTTGTTACTTCATTGCATTAAGACCTGAGGAAATATCAAGGAAAAATGGTGATAATGAATATTTCACCCTTTTGTGACCTCAGAGAGATATATTTCAATAATGTATCATTAACAACGTTTTTTTCTTTGTATATAACTTTGATAATATGAAGGGTAATGATTTCTATTTCTGCACATTTTTCTATGAGGATTTATTGATTTTTTTGTACCTACCAAAATTATTCTTGCAACATTTAATATCCTGAAGTAACATTAATTTTTCTATATGTTAATGACACCAATTCATTTTCTAATGCTAAAAAAGCCTTGTATTCCTAGATTAAACACCATTTAGATCAAACTGTTATATTTTAAATTTATTCTTGAATTTGATTTTTTTTTTTAAAAAACTTTAAGAATGTATACATATGTGCCTTATCTTTGACTTCTTTCAAGAATATTAAGAAATCAGGGGCCGGGGATTTAGCTCAGTGGTTCTGTCGCCTGCCTTGCAAACGCAAGGACCCAAGTTTGATCCTCGGTACCAAAAAAAAAAAGAAATCTGTGCTTTAGGCTGCAGAACTTAATAGTGTTGTATGTTGATATAGATTTTGGCTACATTATTTGCAGTTTCTTCAGCTTTTTGAATCAGGTGTTATTTCTTTGGTTATAAGATCTCTAATGTGCAGTTTGGGTGAATTCTATTGTTTTGCCTTATTTTTAGTAATTCTGTCCTTTCTCTACTTTATTATTGAGCTAATACAGAAAATTTTATTGATGTCATATTAAATTTTATAGTTTACATTTCGATCTTTGTTACAATTTGCTATTTCCTTACTAGATTTTTGTAAATTTTCATTTGTTTCAATAGAACTTCCAATTCACTGTTGAAACATTTTTTTATTATGGTTACTTTAAAATCCTTGTTAGAAAATTTCAAAATGTGATTTATCCAGTTTTAGTTGATTATCTCTTCTCTTTCAAATTCTGATATTCTTTTTTAAATGTTTATTTTTTATTTTAATATAAAACAAACAGATATTAACAAAGAAAATATAAAAGGCAATTTATGAAAGAATATTTCATAACAAAATTATTAGCAAATAAAAATGGTAAATTCACTGTACATCATGATCTAAAAGATATATTTTCATTTGCTAGTCTCTCAGCTCATTTCCTAATAATACTATGTCTTTTTTATTATGCTTAAAACATTTTAAGTATTCTCAAAGTATGTCACATTCTGTATAATTTTAAACAACTTCATATTTCACTGTATTCTTTTTGGTCTTTATTTTCACTTTCATTTTCTCACACTAGAGAGATGATGTGATATTTACATATGTGTGTTCAATTTATTTCACTTAAAAGTATGTTCTCAATGTGTATCCATTTTCTTGATAGACATGTAATTGTTATGCCATCCTTGCATTTTGTTTATTATGTTATTAAGATCCTAGGTTAGTGTCTTACATAAGATATTCTTTTAAGTAGGAATTTACAACGTTTAATACACTAGCCAATTCCTTTTACAGCATGTATTCTAAACCCTGTTTGGTGTGATTCTAGACCGTAGGATTATGCTGTGTTACTGGGAATTTCACTGTTCTCTGTTGGTAATAATAGGAAATGGAGAGAGCTTTCCCAGATTAGACCTTGGTACCATCAACTAGGTAAAGACAAACTTTGTCTAGTAGTGAGTGAGCATATTTCCAGATCAGTTTGTTGAGAAAAGTCAATACTTGACTATGAAGAAAGTAGAATTGTGAAGAGATTGGAAAGTGGTTACCCTCTTTCATTCTCTACCTACGTAGGAAGGATAAAGTAACTCCCCTGGACACTTAGAATGAGAAACTTTTGCCAGTGTTTCTGGTCACACAACTCTTCTAGGTAAGGAAGAGGATTTTTCAGGCCCAGTGGAATTTTCCCAGAAAGAAGTGGATTTTCTATATATTTAATAACAAATTATATCTCCATGCTTATAAATTACTTTTTAACTAGTTAGTCTTAATTCCCCCTTTAGTTTACATGACAGTTTGAAATTCTAGGCACATTTATATTTATTTTTCGGTATGTTGTCACAAATAAATAGCTAGCTTCTTGTTTATTTAAAAGTTTTTTTTTAATTTAAAATTTTACATTGGAATAAGGAGTGATGAGAAAGAGAACTGGGAAAGGGAAAGTAAAAAAGGATAAAGATGTGATATGTATATGTACCAATTCCCCACAATGAATGTTATTTATTGTGCATTGCAAACATACACTAATAATAAAATAAAATGTAGAAACTTAATTTATATTATTTTACTTACATTTCCCTTTCTTTGATTTTTGGAGAATTTGGCATTATTTCAACTGATAGAACTAGACTTACTTATTCTGTAATTTAAGAAAGTGTTGACAATTATTAATAGTTCATTACATCATTATTTCAGGTATTTAGGGAAAGGAAATTATTTACTGGTGAGCAGGATAGTAATGCCTATTTTTACAAAAGGTTTGAGTAAATTACTGCAATATTATTTAATTAGAGTCAGCACTTTGTACCATATCTTCAAGGTCACTTTTCCCATGCTAGAAAGCTGAGTCCTTTTTATATACACCATAGATGTCATAGACTAATTTAATTAAGTTAATAAATACAGAAGCTTGAACATTGCATTTATCTTACCATAATTCCAGGAGCTCTCACATTGCCTATTGTACACCATAAACTATGACTATTTTGATAAATGTGAGAGGAAGGTACACTTTGTGTATGAAGAGAAGACCACAGAGAGTATGGTGAGAATGCGCACCAATGGTGATATCATCGACATTGTGTAATTTACTTCCTTATCTTTCATAAAGTGTTTCTCATCGCTCGAAGAAAACAAGAGGTGGAAAAGACAACTAATAATTTCAAAATTTTACAATCATATAAAAATTATAAATGCAGTAATAATTATTATTTTTATTCTTTCTATTTATAGGTTCAGGTTCTTCGAAATGCTGGAGAAGAAGTGACCTTAACGCTGTCATTTTTAAAAAGAGCACCTGCTTTCCTCAAACTCCCACTGAATGACGACTGTACATGTAAGCATTACAAAGTCCCATTATCATACTGACTCGAAACAATTGCTTTCTGATGGTAACTCATCATTTCTTTGAAAGTTAAAATTCCTGCCTAAATATAAACATTTTTATGCCCCAAAGTGTTTTCCTGACACTATGGAAAGGAACCAGGTGGTATTTTTTAAAAATATATTAACCATGTCACAGTCTTTTTCTAATGCATAATTGATTATTTGATTTAAAAATAATAACATCATAATAAACATCATCCCTATATTATTTATCTTTATTAAATTTCATTCATAGAATTAGGTGGATATATTTTCTCTAACCAAAAAATGATATTGACTGCTAAGCAAAAATTTACACTTAAGTTGTCCTGGAGAAAAGCAGGAATATTAAAGAAAGCATTTAGTATTTCCCTCTTGGAAAATGTAGTAATTTGCACTAGAGTTACTTTCAAAGTTCTTCACCAGTGTTTTTTCTTTGTTCTTTTTTTCTGAAAAAAAATGTATATTATCTACTACTTTTGCCAAAAATAAAGGATATATTTTTAACTGAGGCATAATGTACATGTACTGAAATGCAAAGATTTCAAACGCACAGTTGGATCAGTTTTGAAAAGGCAAACATTTGCTTAGCCACACTGCATTCAATAATATAACAGTTCCTCTGTAACTATTCCCAGAAAATGACAGCCACAGAAAAAGCCACTGACTTAATTTCTCAACATCATACACTACCTTGTCTCTTCTAGAACTTTATGAAACAGAATCATATTTTATTTAACTTTTTATATGTTCTCTTTTCATTATGAATAATTAGAATCACCTGTTATGTATTTCAGTAATTTATTCATTGATGTCCTGTGCAAGGTCCCATTGAGTGAATACACTAAAGTTTATTAATACATTCTCCTACTGAAAATGTCAGATCTCTTTCTCTTATTTTGCTATTATTAATGAAGTTGCTCTAAATGTTCTTGTACAATGCTTTTGGCAGCTGTGCAGTTGAGTTTCACTGTAATAAATACCTAGGAGTGTAATTGCTGAATGACAGAACAGATGCATAATAAACTTGTTAATAAATTACCAAATATATCTCCAAAGTGAGCACATTTTTATTGTAGTGAATAACATGTATCATCTAATTTGCCCTGGTAAGCATTTTTCAGTGCACATTGTAGTAGTCTAACCAATGTGTACAGCGTTGTGCAATAGATCTTGACAATTTTCATCTGGAAAAACTGGAACTGTGCTCCTTAAACAAGAGATTCTCATTTCCATCACCTTTATGCCCTGAAAAACACCAGTCTAGGTTCAATTATAAGAGTTTGATGATTTTTAGATACCCCACAAAATTGGAATAATTCAGTATTTGCCATTTGTCTACTTTATTTGGAAATACTTAGCATAATGTCATCAAAACTCATCTATATTTCAGCATATGACTGGATTCTTTTAAAACAATTTTTTAATTGACAATAATTTCATATATTCATTGGATGGAGTGTTACTTTGACACATTTATACATGTGCGGTGATCAAATCAGAGTAAAATAATATATCTGTCACATCCAATATTTATCATTTCTTTATGTTGGGTAAATTAAAATCTCTTCTGGCAATTCTGAAACATACAATAAATTACTGTTAACTAGAACACTGGAACTTAATCCTCCTAATTGTAGTTTTGTGCTCATTAACCAACTCTGCTCTGTCTGCCCTCCTTCGTACACTTCCCAGCTTCTGGTAAAGACCACCCTACTTTCTACTTCTATGAGATCAACTTTTTTAGATTCCACATATGAGTGAGACTATGTGATATTTTCCTTAGTCTGTCTGGCTTTTTTCTCTTTACATGAAATCCTCCAAGCCCTTCCATGTTGCTGCAATGGTTGGATTTCATTCTTTCGTAGGGCCATTAATTTCTTTAATTCATGAATACACACCTAGGTTGAATCCATATCTTGACTATCATCAACAGTGTTGCAATAACATGAAAGTGATGATATCTTTTTGCCATGCTGATTTCCATCCCATTGGTTGTGTAGCCAGTAGAGACTGCTGGGTCATGTGATAGTTCTATGTTAAGTTTTTGAAGAAACCTTAACAAGGGCTATGCTGAGTATAATTGTATAAAATCCCCCTTTTTTCTCATTCTCACCAGAATTTGTTATTTTTTTGTCTTTTTTTATGATAACCATAAGAGCTTCATTTACAGTATTACAGGATTCTGCATATGCCTATATATTTAAATCTGCCAAAAAGTTTGACTTTTTATATATATTTTATACAGTTGCCTGTGTCCTTGAATTTCAATTTCAGGAATTGAAAAGTTTGTGTAAAGCTGATCTAGTAGTGATAATAGCTTTTGTTTATTTAGGAAAGTTTGTATTTCTCCTTCCATTGGTTTGAAAATTCTGTTAGATATAGTTCACTTGAATGGCTAACTTTGTTTTCTTTCACTATTTATAGTGTATCATCCCACTAACTTCTTGTCTGAAATGTTTTTGCTGATGAATCTGTTGATAATCTAAGAGAGCTTCCTTTTATTGTGCAAATTGTTCTTCCCTATAATCAAGATTCTTTTTTTATTCATTAAGTTTATTGATAGATTTTAAGTATACAATATGATAAGTAACATTCATCACTGGGAATGTGTATCTTATCTTTACATGATATATCTTGGTTCTTATGTTTGTCCCCATTCCCTTGCCCTCCCTTCAACCCCTCCACGCCTCCCTATTTACAGGCTTTGTTTCCATTTTTTTCCTTTTTTCATATTTTTCCTTTCCCTTCTTTGCTATTTCCTACCTCTTCCAACTCACTTTCCCCTTCCCTTTCCCCTTTGGAACTTTTCTTCCTATTTCATATTATCTATTATATATTTTGATGCTCATTTACACTTTCACACCAGAGAAACTGTTCAGTATTTATACATGTGTGTCCTATTTATTTCACTCAAGGATATGGCCTCAATGTGCATCCATTTAGCTATAAATATCTCTAGTTTCTCATTTTTATAGCTGAGTAATACTTCATTTTATTAAAAAAA